AGAGAGGAGAGGAGAGAGAGAGGAGAGAGAGGAGAGAGAGAGGAGAGAGAGGAGAGAGAGGAGAGAGAGAGGAGAGAGACGAGAGGAGAGAGAGAGAGGCGAAAGAAACAGAAAATAGAGTTGCCACAACGTAAGCCCCAAGAGCCTCGGCTGAACAGCCAAGAGCGAAGGAGCCACCTTGTCGCGGGAGTCGAAGGGCAGCGATCCCGCGTTGATCATGTTGTCCAGCACCAGGTCCACCACCTGCTCCAGCGACGACGCCTCCATGTCCAGCATGACGGTGCCGTTGAGCAGGAGGCTGCGCAGCTCGAACAGCGAGTGCAGGGAGAGCGTCGCCACGTGCGGCTTGGACCAGCGGTTGCCGCCTTCTTCCACGTCTTCTTCGAACTTGATCCACCTGCGCGCGCGTACACAATTACTTTCAGAGGCCAAGCACGCGTTACTGCTTCATCGCATACCCGGACTCAACTCGCGAAAAATAAACGTTGTAATATTAAGGCACTAAGCGTTGTGTATGCGTATGTATGTGTATGAATGACTGAATGTATGTATGTATGACTGAATGTATGTATGTATGTATGTATGTATGACTGAATGTATGTATGTATGTATGAATGACTGAATGAATGAATGTATGTATGTATGAATGACTGAATGAATGAATGAATGTATGTATGAATGAATGACTGAATGAATGAATGAATGAATGTATGTATGAATGACTGAATGAATGTATGTATGTATGTATGAATGACTGAATGTATGTATGTATGTATGAATGAATGACTGAATGAATGAATGTATGTATGTATGTATGAATGACTGAATGAATGAATGTATGAATGAATGACTGAATGTATGTACGTGTATGTAATGAATGTATGTATATGTATGTATGAATTTTGGCACAACAGCTCTTTACGAGCAAAAGCCTATCAGCAGCGTCCCAGCCTTGCGGCCGTAGGTTACGGGGTACGTGTGGTTAGCAGATAGGCAATATAAATTACATATACAAAAACACATACCATAAAATCCATGATACATTAACGAATTAATTTAAGTAGCAAAACATCATACATTGTGCACTTCACTTATGATCGCAATGGCTTCCAGGCTACCTCAAACAATTTCATCTTGTGCAGGGTCTACCAAGGGGTCTAAAACTGATAACATTTAATCAACAAACGAAAAGAAACGCATGCTTTGTGAAATTGCATGTAACTCCGTTATATCAGAAGCATTTGCTCCTGATTGTTACGCAAACCCATGCACGCGTTGCTCGTCAGGTACATGCAATCTCCTAGGTCGCGACAGAACGTGACCCGCCGAACATCTGTGTTCAATGGGTTGCCTAAAAAAACAGGCGAAAATGTCACACGTGATACACCGTTGTATGAAATATAACACTGCATCTTCACTGACAAAAAGTTATCATTTTTGACCCCTCATTCCCTAGATGTGTAAAGTTATTGTGACACCACCTGCATATGATAAATTTTAAAAATATTTTCCGAATGTGGATTTTTTGAATTTTACGAGACAACTGTTGTGATGGGCCAACTCAGTCGGCAGATAATCCAACAGTTTGGATAAACCTCACAAGATAGACACGTGTTTTATAGGTTTAGCTGTTCAATTCGGTTGTGGAGTTTTGAACAATACCATGAAAATAAATAAAATATTCATAGTATAAAATATTTTATTTCGTTTACGTAAACACAAGTCGACTTTTAGGACATTACTTTCATCGGATTAAGTACATCCATTTCCACAATGGTATTCAAATACCATTAATTTTCATTTTTAATCTTGTCTCAGTAGGCCTGCAGTCCTTGTTAACAATTTTAAGGCGTAAATATTATTACAAAGACAATTGTGCACATTGTTGATACCATTATCTTCTTTGCAACATTGTTCATATTAATTGCTTCTCCTTGATATTATTAATAACACATTAATAGCTTCTCCTTCGAGCCAAGCAGAAATAAATGAAAAAAAATTAATTGCATTGTTGTTAAATTGGTGGAACCGTTGTAAGTAGCAAAAATCCCGGCAAAATATTATAAAGAATTCAGTAAGAGAAGACTAGTAGTTTACGTTACCTATATTGTTTAATGTGATAAGCGATCATTTATAAAAGGTCAATTTTAAGAAACAAGGAAATTAAACAAAATATTGACAAAATGGATGATAATCCAAACAATTTAGTACTTCTGGATAAGATATTCAATACTTCGAAATTGTGATAAATTATAATTTACATTATAGACATACAGTGAATAAATTATATTTCCTTCAAAACCATTCTACTACTCTTTTTTCCTTTATAGATTATTATATTGTATGTGAGTTTTATATTAACATGCTTTATTTAACATTCCAAAATAGCTCATGTGCGAGACGAGCCAGTTTTGCGGACAGGCTGTTAGCCTCAGCACCGAAATGGGCATAACCAATTTTGCCGAAGTGTACGAACGCGTTGCGCAACCTGCTTGAAGTAAGTGCGTGCAGGGGATTACCTGGCGGTCTCCTTCCACTCCATCTCGTCGCCGTCATGCACGAGCTCCCCCATCTCCGAGAAGAGCGGGTGCGGCTCGTGCGTGCCGTCGTCCACGTCCTCCCCCAAGATGAACTGCACGCGCTGCGCGGGCGGCGTGACTGCAACACCACACGCCCCGCTGAGCCCCGCCGCCGTTGCACCCATCCATCCATCCATTCATTCATTCCGTGGGAAGGGGGGCATGTTTGTTATGCATGTTTTATAGCGGGACGTGGCGGTGACATCTCTGATTAATGTCGACATCCGGCGCTGACCTACACGTCGGCTTGCGCGGGTTTTCTCAACCAGGTGTCTCCCTCCAGCGGGTCACCGCCCCTCCCTCACTCGTAACTAGCTCCTGGTCTCTCGTCGTGTGGTTGTGTAGCGTATGTGTGAATGTAGGCAAGTGGTGAGGGTAGGACAAGAAAGAGGAAGGAAATGTGTCAGAGGCCCCTTTTGTTAGGGTACTGCTCCGGCATTCACCTGACGTTGATAGGAGAAACCACGGAAAACTACCGATCAGAGCAGCCAGCCGCTAGAATTCTCCTCCAGACAGTGGCTGCATTCGACCGCGCCAACAAGCGAATGCCGAAAATGCTGCCACCGTAGGGAGTCGAACCCTACGACCTCTTCAGTTACACTGCAGCGCCATCAGTTGATGCGCAGAGCCCAATATCAGCAGGTTGCAGCGTCTCTTTCACATACGCATGAAAACTGAAAGGAGACTCATCTCCGGCGTTGGAAGCATGGCGGGGGGTGTGCGCAAAACGTCGGAAGCTTATCGGCTAAACTGAACTTTTTTCGCCTTTTTTGGCCAATAATGACCTGCATACACCAACTTGACCAACGCCATCTACACTTCAGTGCGCAAGTGTAATTGGCGTAGTGGTCAAGTTCATGACATGTATTAGTACTTGTGGCTACAGGTATGTATGTAGCGGTTGGCGCGGTATTTAGAACTTCTGGCTACCGGCTGAAGTTCTCCTATCGGCCGCGTGATGTCACTGAAGTTCAGTTTAGCCGATTAGCTGCCGACTTTTTTTTCTTACATACCCCCACCAGCACCAGTTGTCTTCTTAGTCTTCATGACAATATACACATACGAGCCTGCGCGCATGGTCACGTTTTACCTACAGAGATTTTTTAGTTTGAAACATTTACATATGTGTGTTGTATGAAAAAAAAAAATCATTCCAGTGCGTTTATGAACATGAAACAAATCGTTTAATACTCTTGCGGGCCTTCTTTAGGCCCGTTCCACTACCAACCCAACTCTTTTTTTTTATGAATTCGATGAATTAAACTTAAGAAACATTATACATAATCGATCATTTTCAGAGTCATATCAATTTTATCTCCCAATTGATTTTATTCGTCTGCATGGTGAGATAGTTACTAGATTCAACAAACGCAACAACTGCAAAATACATGATGGCAGATAATATATTACTTGCGTTTTTATTTCTTGGTCTATGTTCACGGCTTTTCTCGTCGTTCTGAGTCGTGTCGCTAGATGTCGCATGATCGCCAGCACTGCTCGATACGGTCGGAAACTGCTGGCGATCATCAAGCGGCACTACTAAGAAAGACGCGAAATACTGTGAAGACAGGCCTTCACGCGCCAAGAAATAAAAACTCAAGTATACTGATACTCACTCATCACTATTTAAATTACTGAAGGGCAGAGTATCGAATGATCCCAGAGGTATGTTCTAGCGTCTCAATTCTAATCTAATTCCCTTTAAACTTCGTGATAAGAATGCAGAAATTCAATGTTAGAAAGTTTTGTTTGTGTGTGTTGCAAGAGATTATTTGGTCCGTAAAAAGAATGATATCTGAATCTACATACTTTACAATCCCCGAAGAATGGCCATAATATAAAATATGAATGGCATGGATAAGCACAGGAGATTGTACATCATGAGGAACGGTCATTCAATTATGAAAAACACAAGAATGCGTAAACCTTCATATTGCGACACACTTTCAATGTATAACGTTCTAGTTCGTCGAGTTTTATACCATTGATAAGAGCTATTAACAAATTACAAACAGTACAGCATACACCAATACCACTGCGCTAAAGAAATAGACGCCAATTCAAAAGTTAATACTAAAATACTTAAGATCGTAGTTTATAAAAAAATGAAAAGACTATCGTTTTTCAAAAGATTGAGTCATGCAAATAACTAGGTGAATTAATGGCATGCAAACACAGGCGTCGTGCAATATGTACAAAAGTGACGAAAATGTTCCATAAAGAATGTACAGTGAATTCTTAACTTCTACAGAAATATCAACGTAAATACGTCTCACTAACAAATGATACAAAACCACTGATATTATTAGATTAGTTTACACGTAAGACAGTAAAAGAAAAGTATTTGTAGTTACAAAAGAATTACCTTCAAGACAAGACAAGAGAAAAATAAGAGCATCAATCCATGTCTGCCAATATTTTCATTCACTGCGAAACAAATAATGACGTGCACACTACAATGTGTTTGCGATTGAACTCAGATTCGCTTTTACAGAACCGCAGGGTTAAACAAAATATTTATAAGTAAATGTAAACTTAAAATTTATAATTAGTTACTCAAGAAATGGCCAATCCACTGGCAAAGAAAATTTACAGTTTAGATGCATTCAACAATGTGGCAATGAATTTCCGCGAGATTTCCATCTTAACTACCGTCGCAACGAACGAAACATTTGAATTGCAAGAAACGGAACATACTTTAAGGTTAAATTTTCATATTCAAGAATTTAACTATTCTTTTTTATTTCCACGTATTAAAAAAATAGTGAATCTCAAAATTTAAACATCGCGCTTTAATATAATGTATTACTGCGATTATCGAAATCATCTCCCTTATAAAACTGCATGAGAGTGCAAATAGGCGGATGTTTACTTCAAGTGCAACGATTACATTCATTAGAATATCTACAAACAATAGAGTTATAATATCAGATTTTCTAAGTAAATAATATCGATTCCATGAAAATAAATCGTACCGATAATTTTAGATAAGTTAGAGTCAATAAGAGTGAAAGAAAAAGTAGAATGTCAGAACTTCTTTATGCTTCAGTTATCATACGACTCTTCATCGATTTAAAAAGAGACATTTCTGATCAGCTGAAGCGGTTGTCCTATCGGGAACCCCGTTGCGGCTTCATTTTTGCTATTTAAGCTCCCGATGGGATACTAGAATCCCAGATGATCGTATGTCAGGGGTCACTAAACAGTTATTTCGATTTTTCTATAGTGGCCGATGACATTAGGACATTGTTACAACCCCTGCCCAATAAAATGAATCTCTCTAAGCGTGGTAAGCACATTTCTGAAGTCACAAGCCCGTAAAGGACGTTCGCGAAAATATTAAAAATATAAGGCAGGAGGTGTAACAATGACTAAATGTCATCGGCCACTACAGAAAAAATGAAGTGTAGGTAGAATACCTGATGTTACAGCTAAATTTGTCTAGGATAACCGCTGGGATTCGCGAGTAGAGGGAAGCTGGAAGGAGCCAGGAGGCGGCGCTTGCTGGCATCTGCCCCAGCGAGCTACAATACTCGCGCAACTTTTCTTGAACGATGACCTTGATCCCCCTCCCTTGTGCAATAAACAGTTGAAGGCAAAAGCTCACAGCGTGCACTGATGACAACCTTCCAAGCATTAAAACTTCGTTGGCGCGAAACGGAAGCTAGTCAAAGCTAGTTGCTTTCATAGTGCAGAACCCCTGTTCAGATTTAAATCAATATCGAAAGAAATAGCTGAGTCAGTTCCAGGTCCTTCAAGGGAGTCACCTAAAACTCCCGAAAAAGTTAAGCACAAGATGCAGTTTTGACTTTCATTTCACAGACGTTGGCATTACTTAAAATACTCTAGTGGCTGATTTCGTAACTATTACCCCCACTCCACCCGAAATCGTCAATCCATCGTTCAAGAAAAGTTGCCCGAGTAATACTACATAGAGTGGCTCTCCATGTAGATTCAGCGCTCTTGGTGGAGGCTCGCCGAACTAGTGGCCGCCATGTTGTTTGAAATCAAAACATCCCGAGTGGTGGTGTATTCAACTGCTGTACTGAATCGACTGCGGTGTTGTTTGTATCACTACTTATTTCTTTATTGTTTTTCGTTTGACAGTATTGCAATAAGATTCACTTTCAGGCTTTATGCTAACTACAATAACATTTCAATAGCTTCCATTATGACAATCCATGCAGGAAGCAACATGTATTTAAAGTTTCTCAATTCGTTCTCCTAACATATTGTCATTCCGTTTTTAAATGACTGGTTTTTGATCGCGAGAACACACAATAAGAGGACTTTTATTACGCGCGGCCCGAGCCCATCCGTCCATAACCAACGCCAAACGAAATGCAAGAATTCTTTTTTCCCCGAGAGCGCTGCTTTCACTTCCAAAAACATGGACTTCAATTTGCTTCAAAGGTGGAGACGCTTCAACCACTACATGTAGTATTTTCGAGCTCGTTGGTCAGCTCATACCAAAAACATTAGTATACCGAACCTGACATGCCAGCGAACTTCCTTAGAAATTAATTTGCTTTAGTGTCTTCCTTCGGTAGTGGAGAAACAGCCAATTCACCCTGATAGTCTTACTCTGCTCTCATTATAATCTTTTCCAATGTAACCGAATCCGTTTCCCCACTATCATAACTTGCGTCACTCACTGTCATTACCATCGTTTGCGCCGTTTCCCGTAAAAATAACGATTTCTTAATATGGTAAATTAAATCGTGTGCGGCGAATCTCATTGAAACCGTCGAGAGCAGATTCCACGTTCTTCCTCTTCCTCCCTTTAACTGGAATTGAAGATGAACACGAATCTCCCGATTCCATAGAATCCATTTTATTATTAATTCTGCAAATAGATCTTTTCGAAACGCCCTTAGCAGCAGCCAAGAACTGCTTTGACATTTTTAACACTTTCTTATGCTTCTGTCTTCATAAATTGATATATTTTTGCAACGACTTCACGCGTCTGACTGTGATGTCGATGACTGTGACCTATTATAACATGCTCTGAACCGCGTCCGACAGTGACTTCCTTTTACAACATGCTCTGCACCGGACGCATTGCAATAACCACAAACAGAACGATAATCACTTAAACAGAGCTTTAAGAATCACATACAAATGCTTCACTCTAGAAGAAAACGGAATTGCCAGCTTGCACCTCTCGGATACGAAAAGTCAGGGTCAATGTTTACAAGTCTGGAGAAGGGCTGTCAAAACTTGCTGGGAAGGGACGCGCTCTCCCATAAACCGATAGGTTTGAGGAATGGAATTTTCCAGCAGCTCTGAACCCGCAATCTTCAGCGGTCACTCTAAAGTAATACCACTGCACTCGCCATACCAAACTGAAAATAATATAAGCCGCATCAAGTCGCATATTTAAATTGGAGAACACCTTCCGATCAGATTCGTTTTCTTTACAGTTTTAGTTCATATTTTTAGGCGTCCGTTGGTATCTTCAGAATAGAACATTCGCTATTGAGAGGTGCGTAATTTGCATCAGACCACTACACAACATTGAGACATCCGCGCCGCAATAGAACGAATCAATAAAATAAAATATGAGGCCATTGGTAAATATTTTTTTTAAATAATGCTGCACTGAACTGTCGTAAATACTAATTTCTGAATAAAAGCATTGTTAATTGTATAATTATCACAAGACAACTTCACAGCAAATTCGGCACTTTCTTTATACTATTATTCACATAGTATTTCAAATAATTTGCTAAGGATATGTTTTTGAACACGGCTGCTCTGCAATCCAGCAAGCAAATTCACACATACGAGAAACAAATTACATTCAACTGTGTTCCGGCAAAAATAAAAAATAAAAAAATAAAAAAATAAAAATAAAAAAGCAATGGTACATCCGCTTAATTTATAGTTCACCCTGGAAATTGGACATTAATAACAACCGTTTATGTAGCAACGACTTACTAGATAATCTAGCTATAAATGAAACTCTTGAACGAGAAACATTGCAGCTCGAGAAAGAAAAAAAGAAGGAAAAAAAGAGCTCGAGGTTCTTCTAATTTATTGCAAACACGAATACTGTAAGAGGTAGACTTAACTCCGATGTTGGAGGCATTTCGTTCGAAAAACGTTTGGAGCTATACTTCGATTTATCTATAATGGTCGATGACATTAGGTCATTGTTACACCTCCTGCCTTATAAACTGTATCTTTTTTTTTACAATGGTACGCACAGATCCGAGCAACGAATCCCATTAAGACGTTCACGAATTAATTAAAATTATTTATTTTATAAAGACAGGAGGTGTAACAACAACCAAATGTCATTGGCCGCTATAGAAAAATCGAAGTATGTGCATAACTTCATCATCGACATCTTGGGGTGAATTAAGGAACTTATCTCGGCTTCTTTGGCCAATACCGATGCGCATACACGTACTTGACCAATACCATATACACTTTAGTGTGTGTAAGTAAGCAAGGATAGACGGCGTTGGCGGACTTGAGCTTGTTAGCCATAAGCCGAAAGTGCCTTAAATGGTTGTCCGATTGACCACATGATGTCGCTGAAGTTCAGGTGTGCTGATTCGCTGCAGACGCTTTTCTTACAAGAGCCACCCCAATACCAAAGTTGAACCTGCTTACATTTTCCTGCGGGAAACAAACGCACCTCGGGGAGAAAGAAGAAAAAAAAAACAACAAAAACACACACACACACACACACAAGAAAAGAGCTCGAGGTTCTTCCAATGTATTACAAGGGAAGCGGGCTACAGGTAGTGGCAAGCTTACACGACAGTAGCCAAACCAAGTACAACAAAACACAAAACAGATTAGCAGTGCACAAGTAAAACACAGGCGGACCCAGTAGTCCGGGGGTCTTACACATCTCGCCGTCATCGGCCATGCTGGGTCGCCGGCCGCGCCCACGCACCAACAGCTGCCCTGCGAACCGACAGCCACACGGGGTCAGGGGGCAAGCACACACGGGCCCAGGACGGGGTTCGGGGCTTCCGCAGGCAAGGGTACAGGCAGAGGGAGGATGCCAAGACTCTTAGCGGAGTTCCCACAAAACGAACAGATCAGGAAAATCTTCCCTGCCTCTCATTCACTTCAATTCTCTCAAGTCAAATTGAACGAAATTGTGAGTATTTTCTTAATACGAATTATTACAACACAATATTATAATAATCCACAAACCCCTATTCATTAAATTTTTCAATTTCGTAGGTTTCCATGGCATTTAATTAATGAATAACGACATAAGGCCGTCACCTTTCTAGACCTAGTCTGAAAATTGTCAAATACAATATTTTTAAAGGAAAATTGTAGTCCATTTGAATTTTTATAAAGTGGATAAAATGTTTTACGACAAATGTAACGTAACACATTATTCCCGATTGATTATCGAACTGATATGAATATCGATATGATTATCCCGATATGATTATCGATATGATTATCCCGATATGATTATCGAATGGTCTTTGATGATCATTCTCGAATCTTGTAATAAAATGTCACACGATTACACTAATCTCATAATTAACCACTGTCATTTTTTTTGTGGATCCGTTTTTTGGGTGCATTTTGTAGTTCTATTTAATAGCAGACCACAAAATCCAGAAAGCAGTTCCAAAAATAAGGCGTTTTGGCACCAGTGCATCCCAGTACATGAAGTTCTTATGAACAGTGTGTTTTCTTTCTTTGAGAAAATGTTTGTTCCAAAACCCTTTTTCTACGGATTGCGTAGAAAGTCGTGAGGCTTGAAATTTTGTGGAGAACGGTTATCCATGTTTATCAATGTATAAAGAAAGAGACAAAAAACACAATTAATCATCCACCAAACCCAGTTAGATTAGATTCGTCCTCGATAAAAAACAACTGTGCATTACATTGTCACAGAGAACTAAATAGTACATTTAGTACATTTCTTGGTTCAATTTTACACTTTAAGCTTTCCTAATGTCTAAAATAAACACTACTACACTGATTTTTCTTCAAAATTAATTTAAAGATAAATAACCCAGCTCACGATTTGTATTGTCCCCACGTTTAAATAACACTGGTGAGAATAAAGAAATGGAAAAATATCCGTTTGTTAGGATGGCTCTTGCAGAAAACCCACCAAGAGTCAACGTCTCTGTCAAAAGCAAGGAACATTCTGGGGATATGAACACCCATGCGGAGTTCAGGGAAGTGCCTAACATTTTACAAGTGGAAAGGGACAACTTGGATGATTAAAGTGAACTGGGAGAGTTTACACACATATTTGGACATCTATATCTTCGTATACTCTATTCAAAGTAGATAGACCTTTGACTCATACGAGACATACTGCATAAACATTTTGTTGCATATCAATAGTAGTGGATTTTGAAATGTGACGAATGATAGGCATGGCGATGGGAAGTGAACAAAATACAAATAAAGGCAAAAATTCATTCATTTTCACTCTTTTACTCAACTTCCCTCGGTAAACATGGCCCTCTGCAAACTCTTATTCTATAACAATGAATTAATCATGCAATCACAACATAGAAAAAACAGCTGTGTTGTGTATAGTGATTTGTACACAGGGGTAGCAAAATGCACAAAGGATATCTTGCACAAAGTTGATCATTGCTTTATTGGACATCAAGCAGTTGGAAGCACAGTGAATGGCACTTTTACACAGATCTACAGGTTCATTTTTTGTAAGCACGAAAATTTCGGGACTGTCCATCACAAGGTCATCGACAGGTGGTTGAGTTACAATAGTTTACCCCAAACTCTCATACTGTACGAAAAATTCACTTTGATTCCTGCACCTTCTCTTTCATTTCCATTCTCCATCAACCATGGCAAGTGGGCCTGAATGGTGGGAACAGTTAATTCTAGTTGTCGGAGTGATCGTCATTTTTATAATCGGGCGTGTTGTATTGAAGTTTGTGTGTCCGCCCCCAGAAGTAATGGAACCACCCGGACCTGAAAGTAAATGGCAAGAAAGAGTACGGTACAACATGATGCTGAAGACTCATCGTAAGCTTGAGGACAAATGAATGAAATAGGATTAAGCGTGGAACAAAATGGTACAGAACATGGCCTTGGTGGAACACGTAGATGCCGCATTAGGTCAGAGTTGTAATTAAGTTCCTTTTGTAATCTAAAACTCAACTAGGGTAATTTGTAGAAGAGTGGTGTTTTAAAAGAATAATGTTTCTTATTTAGTATTATTAGAATTGTATGTAATATGACGTAAGATCTGTTGACACTATTTCTGAAATACAATTCACGTACCTTTCATATCAACAGTAAACAAACGTATAGTGTGTGTATTTTATAAAATATCTTTTTGCTAATTTCACAAAGACGAATCAATGTGCTTTATTGCCATTCAATGCATTTATAAACAATTTATAAACGTCATATGAAATAACATTACAAAAGACTTCAGATGGAATAATGGACTTTATTATTTCAGTACATATTTGTTTTCAAAACGCTTCTTATAAAATTCTCGGAAGCCCGATCAAAATTCAATATTAAACTAATGTAAATGCAAAGGTGCTTCGAGATAACTCCTGAATTACATTATAAATTGGTTCGATAGGAATATATTATTTTTAATAAACTTTTAGCTTCAATACTTCAACACAAAATTTATTTTACATCAATTCATCTTATACACAAATCACTCTACAATTCTGGATATCATTCTTCTGTAAAGAGTGATGTGTGTACAAAATCAATCGATGTAAAATAAATTTAGTTATCTTTGGAAGTATTGAAGCCCAAAGTTTAATGAAACTACATATGCATAGGCAACTAGTGTATAAGACAAGGAATATATTATACATTGCAATCGGTACCGTATCACGCTCGGAATATGCTTGTCATCATTACCTACAAAGGTGACGAACATAGAAGGCAAGATGGTAATATATTTAATTATTCAGAAATCCCTTTAATACCATAAATTTATTTACCGACTTATTATCTCCGAACCCCATTTCGCAACAAGCAGTACTTGCTTCCCTGGAATTCCGACACTTGTCACACATTTTATTTCCAAAAAAGAAGAGTAGATGCATTCTCCTTCGCATTAAATGTACTTTATTTTTTTCGAAAATTTGTGGAAGAAACATCAAGCATTTAATTTTTAATTATATATATATATATATATATATATATATATATATATATATATATATATAATATTAATTTTAAGAGATTAAGTATATAAATTTATTTAAAAGCAAAATATAAATAAATTTGCTAAATTGCACAAAAGAAAAGGCTGTAAAAATGTTACAAATGAAAATTTCAACTATGCTTACTCTATACGGAAAATAGAAAATCTCAAATATATTGTTTCAAGACGTTCAGAACCAACTCTCCGAGACATGAATTTTCGAACATACAATCACTATTTACTGCGAATACAGTTAAACATGTTTTATAAAATGCAATTGAAATGTTTTATATCTGCCAAAATCTGTAGATGGTTATGGTAAGTGCGTACATTAGGAAACTCTGCCTTCCACCTTAACATAAAAACGTTTTTTAAGGAGGCGAATGTATCAGACGATTGCTCGATATCAAGTTCATTTAGAAACACTCACGTATCACTCATATTTTAGAACCCCAAAAACGACTGCTTTCGATAGAACAAACTCGTCTACAACAATGTAAATGGACTTGAAACTTAAGTTGGCCGTGTGGTGCAATTGTACAAATCGAATCGAAAAAATTGCGCAAGATTCGTCCTCTTCTGTACATAGAAGAAACATGGATGAATCAATTATTAAAACGTGGTACGAGAACTCCGTGTACGTTGAGGGTTAAAAATTGCTTTAAAAGAAATGATAGCAAACATTACAGGAACGTTTCCGAATCCCAACAATTCAACTCAAGGAACCTCGAAACACTCCTGCGTCTAGGCCTGGTCCACAGGAGGACCGTGATCAGCCCTTGGCTTCAGCCCTGAAGGTCGCTTCACAATTTCTCATTTGTCCGCAAAATCCGACGCCAACAGGAACGCAAGAAGTTGAAAGATCGACATGCCACTTAGGCCCATTTTAAAACTACGAAAACGCGAACGGCAAGCATGGTCGAGTATTCACTTTGGCCCGCGAACGCTGAGGCACCCAGCCAATGAAAGTACAGCAGATGAAGAGAAGTTTCCCAACTGATACAGCGTGTGAAACTAAACAGAACTGAAGCGAAAGCGAAGTGCGATATTGATGTTAGAGCGTGGACAGACGGCTAACCAAGAGCGTACAGGTATGCTTGTAGGAGTGCATTGGTTTTGGAAACTGTTTCCTGAAGTTCCCTGCTTTGCCACCGCAATTTCTCAGCGCGATTCAACTTTCCTTAGGGTATAGGAAGCTGACAACACACGTTATCGTTCACGCATAATTAAAGAGTTTACGAAAATACTACGCATTTCGAAAGATTCCATCTTACCACCAAATATTGTGTCAAAACATGCGCTTCAATGTTAAACGATATCTGAAAAGCGTAGAATCCTATCTTTTAATATGAGTGTGAATATTAATACTTTCTCTTCCTAAAAAAATTGTGCTAACGTATTACCCGCGCAACTTTTCTTCACCGATGGTCTACCGGAAATCGCCCAACTGCATCCTGTGGACAGTTTTTTTTATTCGATCGATCTAGAGGATGATGCGGTCTCTTGAATTGGAAACGGATATTGTGATTTTGGGGGGCAGCAACCGATCAGTGTTCCTCTCACTCTCGACCCTCAGATAATCCCCTTTTAGTTTCCGTTGCCTGAGAAGGCATAGCCCGACTGCATCAAATTTCCTTTATCCGGTGTTTTGGAAGAAGTAAACATTTTAGTTAATTTTGAATTCATAAGTAGCGCATATAAATGTTCTTGCACCAGTCGACTGGTGCAGTCCAGAGAAAATCTGGAACACATGTGAACATGGCAGAATCAT